GGACGGGTCAGTGCGGGGCAGCGGGAGGGAGCCCCGGCAGCCGGGCACGGCGGGCAGCCGGCAGCGCCCTCCCTCGCTCCGCTCGCCCTCGGGTCCCTTCCTCCCAGCTCGGCTTTGCCCAGGGCTAGCTCGAGGTTTCAGGACTTTGAGGTGGCGGCAAGAAGTGTGGTGTGGGGACTCCTGCATTTCGCTCTGGCAGCTGCGGAGCAGGTGTGCAGCGCCAGGAACTTGCACGGGAGCTGGCGAATCTCAATAGAAAGAGCAGAGGAGTCCGCTGTGACAAGTCGAGCAGAACTTCATGCGGAATATCGCTGTAATGAATCTTTATAAGCGAGGAGATTCCTGAAAGGGAGGACCGGAGCGATGCTCCTGCTGAGTGCTGGGCAGGCTCACCCCGTCCCCGGCTGGAGCATCGAGCAGGGGAATGAGACAGAAATTGTTGCACACATGGAAAACGAGAAGTAGGAGTGCTTGGTGCTGCGGGGTGACCCGACCTGGCACGTGTGCCCTGGCTGTGTCGCTTGGGGCGAGACACGCAGAGCCAGAACTGCCCAGAAATAGTCTAAAGCTGGCACTTTGTCAGAGACAGCTGATTTGGTTTTTTATCGCTTTATTTCCATATTTAAATATCTGTAGGCTCTTGGTGGTATTTTCCAGATAAATAATTTAATTGGGGCTACTTCAAATCCCACAGAGAATAGGTCAGGGAAGTTGTCTGTCTTTGGGCTGTGGTTGAGCATCGATACCTTTGGGACATCATCACTCCTGCACCTCACAGCTAACAGGAGTCTAATCCTTGCCTTTTGTGCCTCTTCCATCAGGTGTCTGCAATGCTCTCTCCCTGGAAATTAAAGCCAGTCCTAAAGTGCGAGCTTTCATTGGTGAACAGGTATCGCTGAAATGCTCATTCAAATCCAGTTCTCCCATCACTGAGAGCCTGACGGTGGACTGGACGTACCGGCCGCTCACAGGTGGTCAGATGGAAACAGTAAGTGGAACGGGGAGTCCTTTTCTAGGGGAGATTGTGCAGGCAGAAAATCTGATGATATTTTTTCCGTTTGCCTTGCTGTGCTTCTTCATCGCTTTGGGGTTTGGGACTCTCATCATTGCTGCCTCTCCCATGTGAAATTGCATTAGTATTCTTTGGGCAAAAAATACTCTCTGTAAATGCATAATAGCATGATGATGATAAAGCAGATGAACTTTGGGGTTTGACCCAAGCGCTGCATTGTATTCTGTAGCTATGTACAGGATGACTGTAAAGCAGTTGATTGGTAGCCTTCTTGAAGGCAGCTGTACCCTAGTAGTTCTGTCGTGCTGATACACCTTGGAGTGGTAAGAACATGTGTGCAATGACAGTCTGAAGACAGTGATGACAGCCTCTAAGGTTTGTGGGCTGCTACTTGCTGTTTTGTTGGCAGCATTTTGAAATCTAAGCATAAATATGTACGTCTGAAAGCCCACTGGAAATCTCTCATTCAAGGTGGAAACAGAAAATGCACATCTTGACAGATTAGCAGTGACTTGCTGCCTGATGAGTTAGAATTCTTAGGAGTGTCCTTGTATCTGGAACACAGGGGTGGTTGGTGCTTGTATGAAGTGAGGTCTGCCAAGTCTCTACTGATAGGACAGCAAGAGCAAAGGTGCAAGAAACAAAAGCAGAGGAACTGCAGAAGGGAACAAGTTGCTCAGAATGATAATGGTGACATCTGAGAGCTGAGCCTGGTGGATAAAAGCGTTGGAGATCTAATGAGATGGGTCTGACTCAGAATTATCAAATAGGAACTTGAAGTAGTCTCCTGTATAAGAAGTGTTCCTTCTCATTTCTTAATGTGTATTCCCTTAAGTTTGCAGCCCAGAAAGCAGTTTGATTTCTTAGACAAGCGGTTTATTGGTGCAATTACTGTCTCTGCCTCCTTTCAGATTTTTCACTATCAGTCTGTTCCATACCCAACAACAGTGGGAAAGTTCAAAGACAGGATATCCTGGATTGGGAATGTTGCCAGGGGTGATGCTTCTGTTGCTATCGAAAGCCCAGTGATGAGTGACAACGGGACATTCATCTGCAGCGTGAAGAATCCTCCAGACGTGTACCATAACATTCCCCAGACAGTGCTGATAGTTACGGAGAGGGGTAAGCCTCCATCTCAACAGCGTGTCCTTGTCTGGGTGGTGCAGCTGCGCTGCAGCTTCCTCAGGATCTTAGAAGCCTGAGCATCACATGTGAAATGGCTTCCCTGGAGTTCCACGTTAGAATTTCTGCAACTTGCCTCAGCCCTTCTTTCTGAGCTAAATACATAGAGAGCTATAGAATTTATTGAGGGCAGGAAGGAACAGAGGAAGCTGTGGTGATAACAGAAATCAAAAGTGTGCATTTGCTCAGGGATTCCGGTCTCCACGTACTGCAGCAGTACAACAAGTTAAACATTTAGGAAATACTGGTCCAAAAATAACTGTCACATCACCAACACATGTTCTCAGTAATATTTAATTTCCTCATCTGCCCTGCGTGTGAGACCTGCCCCAGATTTGCAGCTCCGACATGCTGATAGAACTGTGTCGTGACCTGCCTTCCTTTGTGGTTTTTGCCTATAAAACACCCTACTGTGCTGGGTATGTGATAGGAGTCCTACGGATTCAGTGACAAGCTGTTTCAAATCTGCCAACTCTGTGCTTTATAGGAAAAGGCTGGCAACCTGTGTCCTGGATGAGTATTTGTCACAGAAAGCCGTATTTTACAAGTGGTACAGCTGGGCTGTTCTTTGTCTTTCCTGCAGGCCTTTCCTTCCAGCTAACATCAGCGGTGCTGCTGTCCATTTTAGTATTTCTCCCTTCCATCATTGTGGTCGTTCTGCTGTTGGTCAGGATGGGAAGGAAATTTGGTGTGCTAAAGGAGAAAAAAAAATCTGGCTGTAAGAAATCCTCCATCGAAGTGTCTGATGAGTAAGTTCTGGCTGGAACCTAAAGCCTGTATTTCTACTTTGGCTTGTCAATACAAGCCAAAGGACAGATTCTCCACTGTTCTGCATTTCATAGCTCTCAGCATCTGCAGTTCAGTCACTGAAATCTACTTCTCCGTGAGCTTAATTTAGCCAGCGGTCAGAAAGCTTTCAAAAACCCCTTTGTGGGAGCGTAAACTGAGTGCTGTACATCCCTCTTTTTCTGCCATTAGTGTGAGGTCATGAAACTGAAGCAGTTTAGGTTTAGACAGTCTTTCACTTCTGTAATCTGATTTATTTCAGCCTAAGTCAGCAAGAGATTTTGCTGACGGGGGCTTTATGCGTTGCATTTTGGGGTGAAGTACCTGTAACAACAACACAAACTGAATAATGCTGACTGGTTCCCCTGTGGCCTGCGCAGAGATGCCAGGTCCTGAATGAGCCTTGGAGACTGAATTCCCTTCTGAACTGGAGAGGATTCTGTTCTGGAAAGGTTCAGTGGTGAGAACAAGAAGGTAACACTGCTACTGCTGCAGCTGCGCCTGGTTTTGCCAGGAATTCAGTACTATGATTTCTTGCAGAATGGGCTTTTAATACAGTGTTCTGATTAGTGGTGTAAGATTTGTCAGCCAAGTAACAACTCTTGTTATATTCTTCATGGCACTGAGGTGAAATGTCTGCCTTCAAAATAAGGGACCTGACACTATTCTTTTTGGGCTTGTTGGACAGTCGAAGGCTCTTCTTTGTGATGAAAAGCCTTCTGTTCAGGGTGGTAGTGTTCATGGTCCGTAGAGATACTGGTATGTGTGTTGTGGGAAAGGTCCAACCTAATCCTGTGCTTTTTCTACAGGCCTGAACATACAGAGACAGACAACTGCTTGGGGAAACTGAGAAGCTGGTGTCTGAACTGTGTGGTAAGTGAAGGCTGGTGTTTTCGTAAGTGGTTTTGTCATCTTTGGTGCTCAGAGGAGGTGCTAAGAGCAGCAGGTAGAGCTTGTCATAACGCCTCGGATGTCAGAGAAGCGCCCCACTTGGTTAGCTTTCTGCTCCTTGGTGTTTTCCACATAGGGGCTATAGGGGCTGAGAACTATAGGGGGTGTTGCTAAGAAATAATGGTTGGATTAGATGATCTTCAAGGTCCTTTCCAACCTAGTTGATTCTGTGATTCTGTGAAATACTGCATTACTGGTAGGGGAGGTTGTCTTCAGATCCACCAAATTGATTTTTCATTGGACTTTATTGAAATCAAAGCTGACGTTTTAAGATGAAAAATTGGAATTTGAAGTGCTGGCTGCTGTGCCGTGCAGTTTAAGGGCTCTGCAAAACCTACTTGGGGTTTGACAGTGCAGCAGGGTGGGGGTGATACTTCAGTCTGCCGTGTTTCTTGCTAAAGTGGAAGTGTGCAGCCTTCCCTCCTTTTTGGACATCATCCTACTTACGCTGTTTTTGTCACTAAACCTGCTAAACTCTTGTGGTTTGTTTTATTTCTGGTGTTTTGTTTGTTTTGTTTGATGAACTGGTGGTTGTCTTCTAATCCTGCTTGTTCACTTGCTACCCTATCAGCAAGCTTCTGTTAGTGGGATGTGTTGTGCTGGAACTACTGAATGTTTTTGCCGCCTGCTGTACTTGTTTTGTAAAATCTGCCTCTTAAGTTCTCTGTGCTGGCATTAGCAGCCACAGCCGTAAGTGCGGCACATTCTGGAGTAAACTCACTAATATGCCTAACTTGAGAGTGTTTTCACTTTTTCCTGATGTCCTGCAGAGCAAGCTTATCTCAGACACACCTTTATATCTTTTATACATGGTCAGGAAGTATGTAAGGAGGATTCAAATGTCTTGCTTGATACACTATTCTAATGCCAGTGATTTAAAATGTACCGAATGCAGACAGGTGTGTGCCGATGGTTTTACGCTTTATTAGATACAGAATGAAAAATGAGCAATTATGCAAGTTACGTATGAAATATTTACAATTCTACATAAGACACAGCAGTTACAATGCAGCAGTGTAGGGGAAAAAAAGAGTTTTGAGAGGTCCAATAAGCAGGCAATGCTTTATGCAAGAGGGAGAGTTGCCGTGGGAGCTGGCAAGGCTGCTGGGGAGCGGGGAGGCACCATTGCTTTACTGCAGGTGGAGAGGAGGTGGGGAAAGGCTGCCAGCCCCGATTCAGTCAGACCAGTGCTGTCAGACAGTGGAGATTTTAAAAATTGAAAAAGGTCTTCTCACCCCTTGAGAGAAGGCAAATCTGAATGCTATAATCCTGCTGCTTTCAGATTGAGTATTTTGTCATCTGTTCGATACTTTGCTCCCCGATATTGAAATATTTACCTTACCGAGTCTCTGAACATCCTGTCTCACTCACTTCACTGATTCTACATTTTTGAGGTTTCTGTAATGGACTTTTTCATGCTTAAATATGCCAAATAATGAAAGTTGCAAAGCCAGTGAAAAATCTGTTTGGACTTTAAAATGGCTGGAAAGTTAGTGAGATTTGCCTTAGAGAGCTGCTACGTTTGAATTTCTTTCAAGTTGAGAGCTGCAGGGCTGGGTTGTGGGGATGCTGTCAGATGGTTCCTGCGGCTAAAACAATAGACAGTGGGGATCTGAAAGTATGTGGTTGGTTGTAGCTGAAAAACAACAACTTGTGCTGCGCCGGACCTTCTCTGTAGGGGCTGGTGGTGCTTTTTAAAAAGATGGCTGGCTGCACTTTATGGCTTGTGTTTTGCTTGAGTTTTAGCTGCTACTTTGCTTCTTATGTTGGTTATCCAGTGGCGGTTCACCTGTCTCTCTGTGCTAAGTCAAACAGATTTAGCTGCCAGCGCTTACACGAATGCAAGTCCCACGGCTCATGCGAGCAGAGCAGCGTTTTGGAAAGCAGTTGTGCTCTTGTCAGAAGCCTAGCAGGCTCAGCATTTCATTGACCTCATAACTTGGTTTGTATCTTCATACACGGTCTCCATTTCTCTCTCCATGCTCCCTGTTTAGGACACGGATGAGGAAGACCCGTACTGGTGAAAGACTAAAGCTGTGGATAAAGAACAAAATTACAGCACTGAAGATGCTGCCTAGATAGGTGTATGAAGGCTGCTGGATAACCAGTGCAGGTTGAAAGACCTGCTCAGATCTTGGTAGATTGGAAGAATAATGCCAATGGGTTAATTCACTTTTATTTAAGCACAAAGTAACGATTCTGGAAATCTTTCTAATTTATTGGGGAAAAAAAAATATGTCTTAACCTCATTTCTCCGGTGCCTACAGAAACCTCAGTGCCTACAGCTGTACAGCCTGTTTCCTACCAGCAGTCTGACACTGCCTGTTTCTTAGTTGACTTGTAAATTTGTTTCCCTTATTATTGGTGGCATCCCTCCTTTCCTGAGCCCTTGAATTCGAATTGCCTAAAGCACAGGCTACTCCAGAGTGACATCTGCTCTCTAAGGTGATCATCATTGGGCATTGACAATGTTTTCCTCTCAATTTTTTTTTTGGAACATACTTCTAAGGACTTAAAACTGATTAAATTGGTACGTGGCATCCTTTGTCTTGGAGTGATGAGAACCTACTGCTTTTTAACTATTTCTTGGTTGAATCTGCCACTTAATTTTGTTCCTCCTGTTAGCTGATTCTGTTTTGAAGTCACCGACTGCACGGTAGTGTTACCTTACATTGTTGAGTTTTATCTTTCCTTCTTTCTTTTATTATTTGTCCAACAGCTGCAGTACTAGGTACATCTCCTACTTGTAGGAGTGAAGCACAATTCTTAGAAAATTAAAATCAGAAATGCAAATGGGGACTCTGTATCTGGGGAAACATTAACCCCATCTACCTCAACCATTGAGCCAAGCAGTATCCAAAGGAATGATCCGTGTTTGGAACGACAGCCATGTTCCTCCTCTCTTCTTCTAGGTACCGTTTTAGGGAAGCAGCCAAACGTGCATCATGACTGCCTGGTAAGAAAGAGTACTTTCTCTTTCACCAGCCGAGTCCAGTAATGGGTGGCAGAGAGCAGTGGGGTCCATGTCTGCTCAGTACCTAAAGAGCTGCCGTTTCCTGCTTCCTTTCTGTGTGCAGCATTGGTCAAATAGTCTCCTCTGATACCTGTTACGAGTTTACTGGTGATATTGTGCCATTACCAATAAAATGCTTTGTTCCATTCTGGGCTGTGGATTTTTTTTATTTGGCTAAATGTGACTAAATATAGTTGAACTCCTGAGCTGCCATCCTGAGTTGTTGCTTAGCTATAGAAGTTGTCATGTGATGGTGGGTAAAGGTGTTTCAGGCAGGGATTTAACTCCAAAGGCAGCGTGTGCCGAGTCCCCCTTTAGCAGCTCTGTCCTGGCTGCCAGTTACAGGTACGTTGAAGTTCCTGACTGCAGAGCAGGTTAGCTGTAGATCTGGGTCTCCAGATAAAGAAATACATTTTTCTCCCATCTACTGTAAAGTAATACTTAAAAAGCTTGTGCTTCCTGCTGGCACAATGTCTCTCCCAACCAAAACTCCTGAGAAAGGATGTCGGTGGGATATGTAGTGGGGAGGAAGTGGCTTTGTTCCTCTTTCAGCAATAATACATCCCTCCAGTTCTTTGTGGAAATGAATGACTCATGTTTTCTGCAAAATGTTTTCCCTCAGCTGTGACTCCTTTGCAAACAGCGGCCTAGATCCTGGGCAGATCTCTGGTGCGAAGCTAAATTACCACCTTGAAGCTAATAGCATTCTGGATTGTGAGTGGTGTTGAGCGTGAACAAGACTTAATTTTCTCTTCCTTTGTGTCCTGTTTTGGCTGGGATAGATCTTATTTTTTTTCCTAATAGCTGGAGCAGTGCTGCACTTGGATTCAGTATGGGATTTGGTATGAGAAGAGTGGTGATAAGACAGTGATGTTTTCTGTTGTTGCTAAGAGAACAGGGGCTCTCCGGCTCCCCAAGTCTGGGTGCACAAGAAGCTGGGAGGGAGCACGGCCAGAGCACCGGGCCCAGACTGGCCAAGGGAATATTCCAGATCATGTCCCGCCATGCTCAGCGTGTAGAGGAGGGGAAGGAGGGGGGATCTCTCCCTGCCCAGGGATGGGCTGGGTGTGAGTCGGCAGGTGGTGAACAATCACACTGTGCGTTACCCCTTTGTACATTCTGTTGTTGTTCTACTTAATTATTAAACTGTTTTTTACCTTAACTTACCAGTCCCCTTTACCCCTCCAGTTCTCCCCGCCATGCCCCAGGCAGGGGAGGGTGAGCGAGGGGCTGCCTGGTGCTTGGCTGCCGGCCGGGTTTAACCCTTCACTTGCTGTGTGGAAGTTGCTTAGCACCATTGCAACCACTGATCCTGGGGCAGAGAACAGTGATTGCTGCGGTACTCCAGAGGAAGAGGAAGGATGAAAACATGCTTTCGAAGTGACTGGGGGTGGTGGTGCTGGCTGAAAGCAGTCCCTGCTGCGCATCTTGTACGTGTTTCAAAAGGGAGCAGCTGACCGCTCTGTGGAAAGCGCGCGGAGCGTGGCCCCTGTGCCTGTGGGATGCTCGCCAGCCTGCGGCCCCGGCACTCCCAGCACTAAGGCTCAGCAGAGTCACTCGGTGTCACTTGCTGCTGGTACCTCGTCGGGACAAGATCCAGTCTGCAGGAGAGGTGGTTCCTTAACCAGCTCTGGTCCCAAAAACAGCCCAGGAGGGAGCACCAGCCGCCAAAGGGTTGCTTGCCCAGAATCCCTCTGTTGTGACTTCTCACACGGTGACTGATCAGATCAGTCTGCCCTGATGGAAGGACTGGGACTGAGCCACGTCTTGGACCTGTGAGGTGTCGTCTCCTTATGACGCTGCACACCCATCATCTGCTCGCAGGCATACGCGGCTCTAGTTCTCACCTCTCCGTGCCAGTCCCTTCTGCGTTGTGGTGTGTCAGTACTTCAATCTAGCTCCTCACTTCCTCTTGCGAGTTGAAAGCGACCACCAAACTGAACCTGAAATAGGAGACTCAAAACCAAAGACTGGTAAGTAAGACAAATGTCTTGCATGTATGACCTCAAGAGGATTTAGCAACTGCTTCTTTCAGTTACTCCAAATTAGTCACTGAAGAACCCTTCGTGCAAGAGATAAGTTGACTGCCCCAAGCCACACTAGGTGAGTGTTTTTGCCATAATATTTTGTTGTTGTTGTTGTTGTTCGCTTCTGAAAAAAGAACTGGGGAAACATAGACGTGCTGAGGATTCAGATACCATGTGCAAAAGCAGGAAAAGGTGAAGGCAATATGGTATCTATGTATTTTTTTTCCCAAAATGTTTAGTAACGGCAATTATCCTGCGGAAGGGTTTGGATATGTCAGCACCGTAATGTACGTAACAGCCTGGGTGAGTGGGTGCTGTCTTCAGCTGCTGCACGCAGAGCACCCACTTGCTGGTGTGTGCTGCAGAGGGAGACCCTGCAAAAATGTGTTCCCAGACAGGGCCAGAACTTACTCTGAAAAACAGGGTGATAAGTCCAGGACGGATTTGATGGCAAATAAAGACCAGAGCCTCAGTAGCTCAGCTACAGAGAAGTTCTGAGCGTAGATATCCCCGTACACAGGCCTCTGTGTGCTGAGGACTTTTTTTTTTTTTTTTTTTTTTTTTTTTTTTTTTTTTAAGCTGGCTCCTATTTTGGGTCCTGCATGGGGGTGGTCGTGGGAGGATGTAGCTCTGCTTGAGTTCTACAGCTTTTGGCAGTACAGCTAGAAAGTAGGATGCATTGGCCTGCTGCACTGAGATGTGCTGCACCAGCTGAGAGCTTTGGAGCTGAGCGTGAATTTTGGCGTGTTTGTAGGTTGTGTGTGCACAAGCGCAGGTTGTACAGCAAAGTGTGTCACAGCAGAGCTGCAAACAGTGCAGTCAAACCACACGGCTCTCCCCTCCACCTCCAAAAAACCCAACCCCCAAATACATCATGTTTTTTGAAAGGCAGATTTGAGAGCATTCCAGAAGGCTTCCTGCCGCTTTTCGGGATTTTGTCTCTAGGATGGGGGAGGACAGTGAAGGGCAGAGGTGGTTTTACATCACTGAAAGCTGTAGGGACTGTCTCTCAGCCTAGAACAGACTTGTGGGTCCCCCAGCAGCTAACTCTGGGCCTGGAATCCCTGTCTGAGCCTGTCTCAGGGTGTTTCTGAGCTTCCTTTCCTGAGAAAAACGCATTTGCAAAGAAAAAGGTGTTAGCAAACGTGTCTGGCCATGTAAAGAGATGGAAGTTCCTTAGGAGAGGAGCAGCGGTGGGGAGGAGGCCTTGCCCGCTCCCTGCACGCGCTCTGCGGAGCTGCAGTGGCTGTTCCTGCCAGAGCTGGCACGTCCCCCTTCGCCTCCCTGCTGCCCTTGGTGCCTGGCGTGATCGTCACCGTGGGTTCTGCATGGAGTGCCAAGGACGTGGGCGCTGCCCTGGGACACGTGCTATCCCAGGACCACAGATCCGTCGCTGTGGCTTCCGGCTCCCCAGCACTGAGGGAACCATGGATCTCTGAGAGCGATGGGAATAATGGCAGATGTTTCCCTTACGTAATTACTCTTAACGCCTTTCATGGCTCTTTCTTGGGGAAAAGTATCTGGGACTTTTTCCCCCTCCCAAGCCTTACTGAAGCTGGTCTAAAAATCCTGACTCGCACAGTGGAGAAAAATGAGAGAAGCTAGCAAGACTTCAGAGATGATTCGGCTCTGGTTGCCTTTCTGCAGCAAAAATGCACGTATTGGAAAACGTGTGCTGGTAATGGCAGCCCCAAATTCAGCTGTGATGTGCAGGTTCTCCAAGCGGGAGGGCTTCTCTCAGTAGCTTTTGCCTTTAAATCTGTTTATCGCTTTTGAATGGGCATAGCTCGGAGTCATGGAGCAGAGTCACAGCAAGCAGGGTACTGACTTTTGCCTTGCTGTGATCCACGTGTGAGCGCTGGCTGGCATATTCCTGATGATGCCAGCCAGTCCTTCCTCGGGCTGCAGGATGTGTCTGCAGTCCGGCTTTGTTTTGAGAGATGTGCAGCGGGTCACGGTGAGCACACGTGACCCTATCTGGCCAGACCCTGAAGTGTTCCAGCAGAAGTTCTCGCCGTATGCAGCACCCTGGAACAAGGGAGTTCTTTCTAGAGTAAGAGGTCGGTGTTTTTAGGACCAAACTTCTCTGAGTATGTAGTAGAAAAACTCTCTGAGCAGAGTTAACATCTATGAACGGTTCAGATGCTAGAGGCTCGACCTCACACCAGACGTAGCTGACATCTGTGCTTCACTGAGTTGCAGGCTCCCAGCGGGGATAGTGGCTGACTTGAGAGGCTGAACATCCCGGCAGCAAAGATCGTGTTCCCTCTGAAGAACTGAAGGAAGGCTTTTTCTGACCCGGGTGTTCAGTTCGGTTGCAAGTTGCTGGTGGAGTAAGATGGTGGTGTTGCTGTGCTTGACGCTGGTGCTGACATGGCTGGGTAAGCTGTAAGTCGTTCTGGTGATTTTACTTACCTTGCCTGCTTCCCCCTCTGCCTTTGCTGAAAGGCCCATCGGTTCCTCTCTTCCTGGGGTGAGAAGCCTCTGGGGGCCCGCAGGCGCACGGAGCTGGCAGCAGTAAGGGGGCTGCTGGGTCCCAGTCGCTCCGCTGCTCTCCGGGTGCTGCCGGTTCCCTCCCGCGGAGCTCACGCACAGACAGGCCGCACAGTGCGCCGGCAGCCCGGGACGGAGCCCTGTGCTTACCCTGCCAGGCTCCCAGGCTTCGAAAGAGGCGTCTGCTTTGCCAATTCTAAATACAGGGAAAGGTTTCCAAGGTACTGATTTTTGGCTCTGCTCAAGGCAACTGGCTCCCTTGGTCTTCTCCACTGGCAAATAGTTGACATTTTCAGCTCCGCAGCTGGTCAAGACCAAAAGGAACCTGTTTGGGAAGCTGGAGCACTTTGCATTTATTATTTACAGGGCATCAGACAAGTACTTGGTGCTTCGCCAGGGCCCAGCCCTCAGTGGCTTGTGGACAGAGCGGGCAGAGTGGCTAAGATACCGGGAAGAGCCTACCTGTCCGAGCAGCTCCCTGCTGAATCAGCTCGCCTAGTTCTCGACAAACAAGTGCCAGAGCCTCAGCTGCTCTTTCTGGGTTTTGCTGGTGCAGACTCTGGGGCGCGCAGGGCTTTTCTTGACAAGCTCCAGGGACGTTTTCTGCCCCGCTTGTTTCCTCTTCCTGCCGCATGCTTTGCAGCCCACCGTGTCGGCAGCTGCTTCATGCTGGTTCTGTCACCTCTGTGCTCTTTGAAGTGCCTCTGGTTTGTTTTTTTTTCCCCACTGTCCAGCTTCTCTAGAAACCCTAAGCAGTATTTCTGTGGGCAGACAGGTCCCAGCCCAGGTCAGGAGCCTGTGAGCAAGGGGTGAGGAAGCCAAATGGGCAGGTTGTGAAAGGGGAACTGCAGTTCGTGTGAAGTGGTTGAATTGCCCCTGGCCTGGTGTAGATGAGTGGCACTGGTTCTCCTGGCCAGTGACTCACAGGAACAAGCCTGCAGGAGCTGCCGGCTTTGGCTGGGCGACGCAGAGGGCTGGGGTTGTGCTTCCCCACTTGCCTTCTGTGTGGCTTGTTCAGCGAGCGCAGCAGCCCTTGCTCTGGCGGCTGGGAGGATGTGCTGCCCCGCATCCCAGGCACGCCAAAAGCAGGGGTCAGGGAGAGGCTTTGCCTGCACAGGGAGCAGGGCCTCCCTGTTGCGCTCTGGACTGGTCAGTGCCATTAGCCCCAGGCTTATCTGGAGAGGAGATACCTATGGGGACAGGCAGGCTGCATCTGACCGTCCTCCCTGGACTCATCCTGCTGTCCTTGTCCCTGGCAGAGCGATGCAGCGGGTGGGCTGGCTGGGTGTTCACGGAGCCTCAGCTTCGAGCCAGCGCTGGGGACTCTGTCCTGCTGCGGTGCCTCTTCCTAGACCCGGTGGCCGAGGACTGGACGATGGCCAAAGTGGACTGGCTGCGCGTAGCAGGAGTTGGCACGCCGGAGGTTGGTCGGGACCGGGGGACGGGGGCTGGAGCGGTGTGGGGGGCAGG